TTCGCTTAACAACTACCCTTTATAGCAACTATTCAAAGTTTTGACAGCACTGAAAAACTAATTTTATGACCGGTCTTCATACTTATGACTGTCTCCATGTTCCACAGTTATCATTTGTATGCTTCACAGCTGGCTTCGAACAAGCAGAGTCAATGGAAAACCTGGAAATAAAATTGCAAGTCACAGTCACATGACATCTTGCTTAACAACCATGGAGGAAATTGACATTCTAAATCCAGTGTGGTCATGTGATGGCTCACTTAACAACTGTATCACTTAGCAAAGAAGTTACCGTTTCCAATTATTATTAAATGATGACTATTAGTAATGCAGTAACATTTTGCTTGATAAGCAAGACTATCATGTTTTTCTTATCATTATGAAATTGGGACTAAAACTAAAGGTCTGTGCTGAAATAGTTAAATCAATATTTATAGTGAAACAATTATATGACATTGGAATGAATAAGAGGTTGCAGCGAGCGCAGCTCATGCTTAGGCAGGTAAGGGGCGCGATAGAAGGAGGTAGGAGATTCAAAAAAAAAAAAGGAAAAATTTTGGAAAGAAGAAAAAAACCAAAGAAATCCAGAGAGTCACTGAATAGCTCCTGTTAGGCCGAAGACTGAGGTTAATCTGGGGAGTCAGGAGGAGCAGAGGGAGTGTCCTCAGATTTACCTCAGTCTCCAGGCAATTGGGCAGTAACAATACCGTATCAGTGACTTCTCCCACACCCCACCTCGGAGACGCATAACAATGGCTTGCAGGTAAAAATATAGCCATTAGTCGTTTCTGCCATTGCTCCAATTGTATTGCTGTTTGATTTATATTTTGTCTGTCTTCCAAAAATGTAGACTTTTCTTTTAACCACTACCCACTCAGAATGATTTGTTCACCCAACATATTTGCTGTTCCTGCTACCCCAATCTACTTCTTCCAATCTAACCAAGACAAGACAAGGAATATTAGTAACTGCTGAACATTGGCCTTAATTGTATTTGGATTTGCTCACGAAGAAGTATCACTGAGTTTTTAAGTTTGCCTAGAATTATATAATTTCTTATATATTTATATTTATCAAAATATTTGTAATCTATCTATCTATCTGTGGGTCTGTGCTACTTAAAGTAGCACCATAATCCTTAATAAAAGAGTATGAAAACAAGTTTTTTAAATCTTTGAAAAAAAAATCAGAAGGGTTCACATATAAAATATTTTCTACCTACTTTAACAAAAAAAAATACCAGAACAAACATTTCTTCCCAGAAAGGAAATGAAAAAGTTCATTACATTTAGGGCCAAGGTTTTTAAAAATGTGAATGAACTCACTGTTTTGCCTTCTCTTTGATATGATGATAAAATTGTGGAAAACTTGAACAAATTATAGTAAGATTTTCAAAAGGTACAAAAATCTAAATTTCACATTTAAACTACTAAGGCATAGATAGTTAAGAATATTTTGTTTGTGATCCAGTAAAATGATTTTAAAAGTTATATACTACAGAAACACTATATCTTTTCTAAGTTAAATAATATGTTAACTTAATTTTTAAAATTCTGCTTAAGCTAAAGGTTTTTTAAAATGGTAACACTCAACAAAATTGCAAAAGAATTACCAGTATAAACATAAAAATCTTATATGTATATTTCCACATAATCTAATTTTGAAGGTTTCATATGTCATACTGATATCAAGTCATACAAATAGGAACAATGGGTAATGTCTCTAAACTCTGGCAGCAAACAGCTAAGGCTAATATTTAAGAGCAAAAGTTCTAAAAAAAAATTACCATATGTATTTGTAAATACTTTAAAAATTAACCTTTTGTTCATATTTGTAGTTCAAATATGCTATAGAGCAGGGGTTCGATTTCATTGAGACCCACATCATGTTTATGTTTGACCCGGAGAGGGGGCTGAGGTGGGTGTGGGCAGCATGACGTCACTTGTGTTGGGGGAATACCTGTGGTGGCCCAAATGCTCTGCCAGTGAAAATGGGCTCCCGAGCTCCATTTTCGGTTGGGACGGCCTCCTGCAACCATCTGCCAGCGAAAATGGAGCTTGGGCTGCACATGGCCCTCACAAGCTCAATTTTACTGGCAGAGGCACCACAGCTGGTCCTTCGCTATTTCCAGGGCAGCCCTGCGGGCCAAATCTAAGCACCTTACGGGCCAAATCTGGTCCCGGGGCCTTGAGTTTGACACTGCTGCTATAGAGGTATCATGTTCATTTATACATTTCACTAACTTTTATGTTTAAACTTTTAGATAATGATTCACATTCATACATTGACTTGCTCTTACATTTTTATTTAAATCAAAAAAATTACATAGATCTTCCACCATGCCTGGCATAGCTTCTATGCATATATAATACATCAAGATGACAGCTATACACTAGATAATAAAAATACAGGTTTACTAAATTACTGTATTACAATAATATTTACCAGGTCATTTTTCAGGTCAGGTCAGGTTTATTTTATTGTTTCACACATCACAAGAAAATTAGTTTTCTAATTTCCTTTCAATAGGAACTTGAAGCTTAGAAAACAAATCATACATTGGGGCAATGGAGAAGATACACTTGAATAAAAAGTTGCTTTTTAAAGATATAAAATTAACATTGGCTATGTAGATTTTATTTTTGAAAAAATACAAGGATATATAGAATTGATAGAAAAGTAACCATTAATACAGATTGCTCCTTTAGGATCTATATTCCAAAAATGCTGTAGAAAAATGCTAAGGATACATGGGATAAAAAATGGAGCATTAATTGTCTACTGGTATTTCTGTAAAACCTCCACAGAGACCAGCACCAGGCTGCCTCCTGTGGATTCAGGAATTTAGTAGACCCAGGCTTGGTTAGCACAGACCATGAATTCCCAAGAAATCCCAAAACATCTTGGAAACAAATCACGTTTGTGTAGCTGGCAAAAACTACACATACACTTAACTGTCAAATCATCTAAAGTCAAACGTGGCTCAAAAGAGATTTTTACCGTATTTCTATAAATAGATTTGTGCACTATAATCCAATGTATATTTTCATGTAGAAAAACAAACCAATAAGAGGTTGCATAAAGTCCTGGATGTTGTTTTGGGGATAGCAAGAAGAGGTTGAAAGCTCTATTTTGGCAGTTCCTCTATAATTATGCGAGACACCGAGTTCCATCCCGTTGATGCATCTCCTCTTGGGTAATCTGAGCAAGTCCCAACCCAAACAGCAATATCCACCAATCCAGCATTGATTCCTTCACATAATCCTTCCACTGTTTAAAATACAAAATGCATTGATTTCACCCATAATCCATGGCAAACATTAAAGACTAACAATGGAAAATGGTATTGAGCATCGGTAGAGGCAATCCGCAATTACAGTATTTGGTTGGCAAAGATACAAAGGGAAGGAAGAATGCCTAACTAACCCCACCTCCCTTGCCATGCAAAGGGAAACTGAGGTCACAGCCTTTGTTGCTTTCCAATGTTCCTTTGGGCCACATGAGGAACTTTCTTGCCCAACAACAAGAAAGTTTCCTCTCGAATCTCTCACGCCCTTCCATCTCAAGTTCCATACATGTTATCCTTTTAAAATACATTTTGCACATAATAATTAATATGGGAGAGAAATTGCACTTCTTCCTTGAGGTTTTTTTTTAAGGAAAGTGAACAGTCATTAATATATAAAAACTTCATTGCCCTTTTAAAGGTAAAGGTTCCCCTCGCACATATGTGCTAGTCATTCTCGACTCTAGGGAGGGTGCTCATCTCCATTCCAAAGCCGAAGAGCCAGTGCTGTCCACAGACGTCTCTGTGGTCATGTGGCTGGCATGACTAAACGTTGAAGGCGCACAGAANGATGACATTCTTTTTTTAGCCCTAGTAAGTAGACATTCTTGATAGAAGGGACCCATAACATACCCTGTCTTCCCAATCTGGTGGGTCAAATAGATGTATTGGGAAAGGACAGCCCTTCCGATACATGACTCCAAGCAACATAAGGCTTCAAAGGTGATAACCAGCACCTTGAATTGGATCCAGAATTAAATTGGCAGCCAATGAAGCTCTGCAAGTGAGTTAACATCTGTACAAATCCAGACTTGCATAGGCAAGTAGATAAAGAGTTCTTAAAAACTCAAAAGTCTGCATGGTGTTTTGTGATATTCCCATAATATACTGGTATTTTAATATGCCTCAACTTTACTTAAACAGGTTATTTTAATGATTATATAACAAGTAATCTGGATTTGCTAATCTTCATATTTGATTATTCAGCTACAATGCTATTAAAGCCTACAAGACAGAGAATAAGATGAAAAACCTTGAAGCAATTGAACATCTAGTGTCAGCAGCTGAAGCTGGTAAGAAACATATGAGCTATTTGTAGCTATATTATATGCTATACTTTGTTGAGTTATGTTTAGTTCAGAAAACAATTTTGAACATCTAAAAATATATTTTTGTCCTATTGAAAGTACAAATGCTCAACTTGCTGAATATTAGATCTTTAAAAATGATTTTCTCTAACACTTTTTAAGAAATTCTTATCCATACATCCTGAACACAATACAAAGATACCACATATGTATTCCCAGTTTTACAATACAAGTTATGCTGAAATCCATGTATCAAATGGATTTTCCTTCCAAGAAAGTTGATTTAGGATTATAATTGTAGTTCTCTAAAACTATTTGGCAAATATTTGCTACAAAAGTATAGATACTGAGTTTTTTGGAAATTGAATGCATAAATTCCATGTGATACACAGATCAGAAATTTTCAAATTATGTTTGAAGTGCTCTATAATACTAAGATGCTAGCATTGATAGGATTTTCAAATTATATTTGATAGGCGTGATCACTTTGTGTATTACAAACCCAATATGGGTAACCAAGACTCGGCTTGTGTTACAATATGAAGCTGGCGCTGACCTGTCAAAGAGGGAGTACAAAGGAATGTTTGATGCTCTTATTAAAATATACAGGCATGAAGGTATACGTGGGCTATATAAGGTAAATTAATTAGTCTGGTCAAGAGTTCTAGTATTAGTATTTTATTATTAAATATCCTGAACAGTTATTGCATAAGTTTTGGTGCAAAAGATTTGTTGCTAAACTTCAGTTCTTGTTCATGTATATTTGAAATATCTAAATTGCAATAAAGAGTTTATTTTATTTTATTTAAAATATTAATAATTGTAGAATGCACATAATTGAAAGATTGAAATTAAATGTTAATTAAAGATAGGTTGAAATTTAAATTTAGAAAATGACTAGGATAAACTGGTGCTTAAATCAGTATGGTCTTTATAGAATTCATAAAGCAGACTGAATCTTTTCTGTACAAAGTATAATTTTGACCATTCCATCACTGTATATGTATTGGCAATGCTGGATTTTAAACTTATAACTCTACAATTGATATGATCAGATGGATGATTTTTACTTTTTTTTTTTTACATTTAACTATTTCAGGGATTTGTACCTGGTTTGTTTGGAACTTCACATGGGGCCCTTCAGTTTATGGCTTATGAAGATTTTAAATCCCGATATAATAAATATAAAAATAGACCATCACATATGACACTGGTAAGATAAATTATAAGTTAGAGGCTTTACATAAAATAAAATGTTAGGACTGTGCAACACATTCAAAGGATATATCACAAAGCATCATAACTTGAAATGTTTAAGTCAAACACATCTTCCAGAAACATGAAGTGGTTAATTGGAAGGCTTTCCCAGGTCATCACTCTGTGTGTGTGTGTGTGTGTGTGTGTGTGTGTGTGTGTGTGTACAGCTGATTCAATATATGTATACTATACAATACATGTATAATATATGTATACTTCATGTACATTTTCTTGTTCATTAAGATGTTCTATAGAACTCAATTTTTTCATGTTTAATTTGATACTGCAATAATTTGGTGTGTGTCTCAAGAATTGAAGGATATACTAGACATAAAAGTGGCAGTTCAACTTTGTTATAGGATAATGATATAGTATGACTTAATTATTTATTTGACATGGTACAACAGTTTGGTAAGTTTTCAATTACCTGATTAACTGGAGTAAATTTTATGTACTTCTTATACATTTAATGTATATGTACGAATTTGTAAAAAACAGGGCTCCATCGGTTGTTTGTTTATTTGTAGAGGTAAACATTTCAAACTCTTTATTTCAGATTAATATTACAATAAATAGTAAAAAATATCATCCCAAAGGTGCTTTTTTCAAAAGGCAACTGGACTTTCTTTGGTTTTCCATGAAGACACATTTTGTGTGTCGTCCAAGCTTCCTCAGTTCTGAGAATCTAAATGTCTATGGAGAATCTCTGAGAACAATAGACCATATTTTTATACCAAAAATAGAAAAAGATAAACAGTTTTGCCTCAACATTGGACAGATACTTACAATGATCCTATGTAAATATTTTTTAAAAGGGGGATTCTCATTACTGTGGCTCTTGTTTGGGGCTTGCCCATATGAAGAAGGAAAGCTCCAAGACTTTAGTTCTGCTGTACCTGACATGCACATATAACCAGGTCAGGAAATATTGGTGTCAGGTGTATTCTGTCCTTGCCTGATTTATAGGCATTGCAGGCTTACAGTAGTCTTGCATAAGGAATGGCCAACTTGTAGTAGATCAGATTCATGGGATTAGAAAAGAAAGTGGGCTAGTAAATTATTAACATTTTAAAGGACAGCTTCCTAAATTTTATTTAAATTACTCTTGCATACGATGGTGGATTTTTACCCACCTTGACTTTCTTGTTTGTTGCTGGATATACCAACTGATGCCATGGCAGGAGCCTCGTTCTTTTTCCATTAAGATATTGCTGCATTTGTCATGAAAGGCAGAAAAGCATATTTTGAAGGTATAATGTTATGAAGAACAGTGGATTTATCCATCATGGAGCATGGTTAAAAAAAAGTGTATTATGTTATAATGGAAAAGTGGTGCTGCCTTGGATTATTGTGTTAGATTGATATGTATGCCTCTCAATTTTTGAACTATCTATCAAAATAACGTAGACAGTTACCAACATTACTTTACTTAGCCAGGAGTTTAGTGTTGTATTTCAACATGAGCTATTGCAGATACATGTAGTGTTTTTCTCCATTTTTTAATTTCGGTATGGTCAAACAAATACCTAAAAGACCACATGCACTGGCAATTTGGGAAAGAGAAATTGCAATAAGCTTTCCAGAGGGTGCAGTTACCTTAAGCTTGAGTAAGGGTGCCTCACCCCCATCAGTCTTTTGTGACGCATTTCTGCAATGGCTTTGCACAGCTGTGTAAACTATCAACATAACTTTGGAGCAACATTTGCATAGACTGAAAAAAAGAATACACTGCTGAATTAAAAATGGTACATTTCTTTAATTTTGCAAAAGAGTTGAGAATGGCAGTTGGTCTTACCTGAACTGCTATTTTCGGAGCTGGGACAGGAGGCTCCAGTGGATGGTATTGACACACCCATTTGGCCACGAGACTGGGATGAAGCT